CATTTGGGGGAGGGGTAACGGCTAAAATGGGGGAAGCCAACGCGTCAAACGAATGACGCTAAACGAATGACGCCGAGGTAACGCTGCAGGGGCGGTGTTTAACGCCCCCTGGGCGTGAAAACCGGCTTAACACCGGTGAGCGTGACCGATACCCAGTGCTCTTAGAAATTCAATACAAAAATATCTTATCATAAATTTAATAAATATAAAAAATGGAAAAGAGATAATGGGACAAAGAAAATGTTAAATTTGGTGTAAATAGCCAATAGTAATGAAGAATGGGGGGGGGAGCACAGGATTTTGATGTGGGGCGATGGCCCCAAAGATCCATCCTAGTATTTGGGGATTTGCCGTCGTTACATCAAACCAAACGGCCGGCCCCTGCAGATCGATCTGGAAGAAGGGGACAAGCATGGTAATTTCTCGGAACCTTCTCCCCCTCGCAGCCGTACAAATACGAGCCCGCCCCGAGATCCATCCAATCCACTCTTCCCAAAAATGCGCAAATTGCGACCTCCAATGGCCTCATCCACCACACCGTAGCAGATCGCCGCCACGGCGACGATGACGTCTCCGTTGACAGCCCGCGGTGGAATCGTGGATGCTCCGGCGGCGAACCGCGGCGGGATCAGGGGACTGCAGAAGCTCACCAAGCTGTTGCTGAATGTGAATGTTCAGAACGGTCTAGGGCCGATTAGGGTGGTGCTCTCGCCGGGAAACACCGTCGGAGATTTAATCAAGGAGGCGGTTGAGTTGTACGCTAAGGAGAAGCGGCGGCCGTTGTTGTCTAGCCCTAACCCTGCCTGCTATGAGCTTCATTATTCTCAATTTAATCTCCAGAGTAAGTATACACGTCCAATAATTTTTTTTTAAAAATGTAGATTAATTTTCAAAATATTAAAATTAAATATTCTCATTAGATAATATTTTTAAAATACTAAAATTGAGTTTTAAAATTGTTGCCAAACAAGCATTTATTCCATTTATTTAAATAGATTTCAATTCCAATTCTTATATTGTATGAGAAATAAATTGGGGAATTTATTTAAATAGGACCATTGATCATTACTCCCTCTGTCCCTCATAGATCTTCTCAATAGCCCTTTTTCTTTGTCCACAATAGATTTTCTCATTTCATTTTTTAACAATTAAAATACCACAACTACCCCCACTTACTTTATTTATTACACCTCACCCACCTCATTTAATACACTCCACCCATTTTTCATTAAGGGTATTATGGTAAACTTTCACCTTTTTTCAACTCTTCTTAAAAACCACCAAAAGTCAAAATGAGAACATCTTAGGGGGACGGAGGAAGTATTTATTAGTCATTATTTAAATGAATATCTACCATCACTGGACATTATTAAGTACTCCGTACTATTTAGAAAATGAAAAAAATCTAATTCTTATATTGAGAAATGATTTATTTTTTAGTCATATTTAGAGCAAATTTCACAAATTAAATTTGCGAAGAAGATTAACATTCAAGGGAGTAAATTTTACCTCACTTAACCAAACAAGCTTTTGGTCTATTATATGTTTATGTTTGTGGTGATTGGTTGCAGGGTTAAGAGAAGAAGAAAAGTTAATGAACTTGGAGTCTAGAAACTTCTTTTTATGTCCAAAATTGAATGATGGAGTGCAGAGGAGATAATCACATCCATTGGTGCAGTGCAAGGACCCAAAGGCAAATAGTAAATTCATAATTGAAAAAAAAAAAAAGTTGAACCCAAAGAGGGAAATGAAGTTGTAATGGTGGAAAGGAAACTTTATCTAGAACAGGGCCGTTCTCCCGAGTTTACCCTTTTGGCACCCACCTCTCAACCATGTGAAATGCGCCCTTCAGCATTATTGTATTCCCTTTGTGACCATACCCCTCCGTCCCTACATATTCACAACATTTGCTTTTTCAGCAGTGTCGGGAGTTTTTGTTTATTTTGACGTTTTCATTGATTATTTGATAAAATAAAATATTCTTTGCACCTCTTATTTCGAAGAACTTTTCATGTAGTTTTTTTATATGTAAATTTTATTTTTTATTTCTTTACCAATATGTAAATAAAATGAATTGAAAAAACTTGATATTTTACCTCGGGAATATAAATGTGGCAAATAATTTGGGACGGAGGGAGTATAAATTTTGTTGTACCATAGAAAAAAGTGTAGTGAAAGTGAAAAATAAAACATTCAAATAATAATATTTGCTGTTTAGTTTCCTGCTTTGAAATACACCAAATACAAATAAAAAATACCACAAACTTTTAACAATATATTTAGTAGCCGTACAAAATATTTTTCCATACCAAAAATATATTAATTAGTCTTATATATTATAAATATATTAATTCTATTTATATTTTCCATTGAGAAATTTACCTAAATAGGACTGAAATATAATGACTTTCCCAATATAGGACCGTATGTTTTTATTTCTCAATGTAGGACTTTTGGTCATTATCATGTAGTCATTATTCAAGTAATGTCCATCATTATTGGACATTATTCTTCCCACTAAGTCATTATTAAGTCTTATTTAGGGAATAAAAAAGTTTAATTACTACATTGGGAAATGACTTATCTTTTAGTCCTATTTTGTGCAAATTTTACTTTTCCATTAAGTAATAAATTTGCTTTGAAAATATTTATTATGGATGAATTTTATTTTACTTGATTTTTACTTTTTTGTAGATAAGTTTACCATTTGAAAAACTACTTGTTTAAAGATTGAGAGTTGGTGTTCTAACTTTGGTGTTTTTTTAAAATCTAGAAGAAATAATATATGTTTTTATTAGGAAAGATAGATGTATTGGGAAATATAATATTATTATTTAGTATCTTCGTTATTACTTCCTTCGTCCCTTTAAGTTCTTTTAAGAAAATTAAGGAAATTATATTTTTTTGTTGACTTTCTAAAAATATCCTTGATGTGATCGCTAAATGTAGGATTTGATAGGTAAATTATGTATAAAAAAATATAATGTAATAGGCAGGATAAGAATTAGTAGAAGTGAAAAAGAATTTTTAAGAGAAATGGGAAGGACTTTGTGAGATAAAGAAAAAAAGGAGTTTATGAGACGGAAATAGTATGTTGCTTCCTTATTGTATTGTTATTTGTTACTATAATTCTTCTCCAACTTAGATTAAACTTCTCTCTTATAACCCCTATATACAGGGATGTATCCTTCATTATCCTTCTCAAAAGCCCAGCCATTTTTTTCGATCGAGCACATCGTCGGTCTCTGTTCACGGCAGTCGACATCATGGTGTTACCGACCGATCTCGACGAATGTGTCTAACAACCACTGTCTATTATCCCCCTCTTTCTCTCAAAAAAAATCCAATATCTCTCTCTTCCAAGAAATCATGTCTCTAATTGAAGAACAGGAAAGTTGCATTTTCTTTTTTCTAGAAATCAAGAGCACGAAAAGTAATAGAGAAACAGAGAACGGCCCAAAAGAAAAAAAAAGAAACTCCTCGCCCTCGCTCCCATCGCCAACCTTCTCACAAGGAAAAAAAGTCAACAAACGTATATCCTCAAGCTCGTTCGTCATGTAACAAAAAAATCAGGCTCTCTACTTCTAGAGCCTATCCTCACAAAAATACTTCCGCCGGCTTAATTCCAGTACTTGTGCTCTAAGTTGTGCCTCATTACCGATTATCAGATTGCATGGGGATATTACGAATAATGGATGTACTAGGAAAGAAAATATTATTATTTAGTATCTTCCTTATTACATTACTTCATTATTGTATTGTTACTATAATTCTTCTCGAACTTAGATTATAATTTTTTCTTGTAACCCCTATATATATAGGGATGCATCTTTCGTTATTCAATAAGACTAATTATTATCAAATTGTATCAATTTTAAAATCTGAAATGAAGTTGTTTAAAAGTATTTAAAATAATGATTTATTTAGTGATAGGCGGGGGTGACCGGCAACAAGGCAATTGACGGTGACAATGATAACCGGTGGCAAAAAATAATCAACAATTGAAAGAAATATCAAATCCTTATGTTGATATCTCCCAATTTGGGAGATATTGAAACCTTTCATTTGAAGATTTATGGCATCTGCAGACATCAATTCCAAACTTGATACTCCGTATCCTTTTGGCTTCACCAAACACCAAAAAAGGTTTTGATATCTCGAGATATCAAAATTCTTCTTTTTTCTCACCAAAGTCACCCTAAATTTTTACTGTACTAGTATTTTGACCCGTGCCATGCACGGGGTTGAACAAAATCTTTTTTGATTCTGAAATTTTTTCAATACAATATTTTTTTGATATAGAGATAATATATTTCTCACAAATTTTTAATAACATAGAAAAAAATCAAAATACTTAACATAGTTTCTTTTAATACTAAATATCTAAAAAAACCTCATTGTGTCTCTGTATTCACTTATGAAATAGAAACATAAAATTGACCTTGAGTGAAGACTAACTTAGTTAAAATAATCCAATAAATGACAATATTCGACTTTGATTTTTGTTCAATGTCATGGCAAAACATAAAACCATTCGGAATTGTCTTCTTTGGAACTTCAGGGTAGTCCTAGACCGGAAGGTGCCAAATTCATATGAGATATATAAACATTTTCCCCTACTTGATTTCACAAAACCAACAATAACACTGATAACATTCTTCCTCTCACCCCCCTCTGCTTTAAAACTATTTTATGGTTTAGGATCCCCAAACATTTGGTTTTATTTTCATAAGTTATTCTTGAGATAACTTATGTCTAGAATCAAGAATTCGGGTAGAATATCAACGTCACTTGTTCCATCAATCACTTTTCCAAGCTTTCCATCTCCAAGTTTGAGTATCCCATCAGAAAAAGCTTGTGTTTCCCTATCCGTGCAAGAGGGCATTGACGAATGCAATCTTACTCTTCGTTAACGTATAAACTTTACAATAGGAACACAATTTTGATGAATTGATGGTAGCACCTACGGGTCAATTATGTTTTGTCTATTATGCACACAAAAACTTGATGAATTTAGTGTAAAATTGTTATCTACTTGAAGCACCGATAACTTTTTAGAAAAAATGTACTGGAAATATAAAATATTTAATTTGAAATACAAATACCATGTGTCACATCACATATCATATATATTACTTCTTAAATGGGTTTGATAATGCGTGACTATAGTCAATGTCGATCCATCTCTATCTGTATATGTAATATCTAACATAAAATTATACTAATATTTATCTCATGAAAAAGTATAAATGTTTTTTGTACTTTTTTTGGCATGCGTTATAAATATATTTTTTATACATAACTTTTTAGAATAAAAGCTTTGGTCCATGGTGTCTTTCTTATGTATATTAGAATAAAAGCTTTGGTCCATAATGCCTTTCTTATGTATATTTTAATCCACTATAAAATTTTTAAATTTTAATCATCATTAAAATACCATTGTCATCATCATTATTATTACTATTATTCAACATCACTTAGGGACAGAATTTTAATCGTTGATCTTTATAAATGATGGTTTTTCAAAAATAGAAGCATCAAGTTACTTATGAAGCATATGTACTAATCATTATATAAATCCTTATTTTGAAAAAAGTAGAAATGGAAAGTGGTGGGTAGTTTTACAAATTTACATAAAGATAAATTTATCTTGTCGGATATTTTCAATATTAATTAAAATATTTGTAACTGCATATGTCCTTTTCCTTATTCCTTTAAATATTTTCCATGTTAGTGAAAATATTTATATGAAACTCCACATGAAATTTCCCATCATTTTATAATTTATAAAAAATATGTATGAATAATTTAATGAGTTACAAAAAATCATACAAATATATTCATTTTTGTAAAAGTTTTCCTCATTTAAAATTTAATATATAATTTTATTTCTAAAATAATAAGTTAATTATGTATATTAAGAGCTTTAATAAGGAAACTTCCATTCAATGCTCTTGCTGACATGAATGAGGAGGTGTTAAAAAATTGTCTAGTTAGCATGTCAAATGTCATAATTCTGGAAGCTCAACTCTCCTTTTTAATATATAAAGGATTAGAACTTACTTTCCTAAACCTCTCCACTTCAGTAACCCACATCCTACCAACTTTAATTGCATCCATCAAATTTAGTTCACTTTATGATATACAAGTTTACTAAGTTTCATGAGCATTTACAAATTTTAATTCTTCAGTTTACATTTTTTATAATTTTTTATTTAAATGCACTTTCAATTTCCCAAAAACATACCTCATGTAATACAGTTACATTATATTTTAAAATGTAAATTCGATAAATAAATATTAATCTCAACTTGTATCGATATTGAACCATCTTGATGAGCTCATTGTACTATTTTGACTAATTTTAGCTATTTTGATTGGTCAAAGAGTAAAGAATAGTACTTAGTATTATTGAGATTGGTTGTTTGAGTTCGAAAAACCAAAATACAAAAATCTACTAGTAGGCTTTCATATTGGATATTTAACAAAAGTAAATACTTTTTACTATTTATCATTGCATGTGATTTTTGAATAAATAAAAAATTAAATATTTATTGTATAAATTAATAAATGAATAAATAAAAATAAATACTCATTCCCAAGTACAATTGATGGAGGCAGTTACGAGAAAATATTAATTTTTTGATTTTTACCTTTTGATTGGTGTAGAAATTAAAAAAAATCATATATTTAAAAAGTACAATATATCAAAGGTCTTGAAAACAAAAGATAATATATTATATTATTTTATCAAATAATTGATTAAACACATAAATAAATAAAAATTATTGTGACTTTAGAATATCACCTTAAAATTTTATCTGAGGATAGAAGGAACATGTATAGAAAACAATGTGTATATTAGTAATAATATACTCCCTCCGTCCAATGAAACATTTCTCCTTTCTTTTTTTATCCGTCCCACAAAACACTTCTCATTTCTATTAAAAAGTCACTTTTACCCTTACTTTTTCATACCCTACCTATCAA